TTTCGATTTCCTCCATCCATTTGCATTCCTACCAATATGGTCGGATCTTTGGAGGCCTTTCCATCCCTTTTTTTTTTTTTTTTTAAAAGTCAATATTCAGTCCTTGTTTGGTGTAACAAAAAATTAAAATTTTTAATAGATTTTGATAAAGGTCAATAAATTGTATGATTAAAAATTTATGGATTCCATGAAATATATGGTTAAATTAATTATTAATTTAAATTTAAATTTTTTATCAAAATTTTAAGATACACCAAACAGGGACTTATTTTATCCTTCATTTTTAGCCTTTTGTGCACACATGCGACAATTATAATAATTTTGGAGACGTAAAGATAAGAAAAAAAAATTAAAAATTAACACGTAGAAAATAAATTATTATAAGAAAGGAAGATGGGGGGAAAAAGGAAGTTTTTAACAATGAGATACTTAACTTTTCGTGCTCTTAAAAGACTTTTTTATTGTCTTTAAGAAAGATCTTCTTTTAGAAAAATGAGTTAAAATTTAAGATTTATCGTATATGAGTAATTAAAAATAAAAAAAAAGGTTGAATCCCAACTTTGAGGGCTCCTACCGCCCCGCTCCTGAAGCATCGTAATGGACGTAAATTGCGGGATGTATCCCAACATACCAGGGAACAAGTGCTTGCTTGTACACTGGTACCCACAAAAAGTCAAATTTCATATTTTAGGAATTGAACCCTCATACTACGACTGACAGTAAAGTTTAAACTACATCACTCATATCATTTGAACCACTGAATTATGCCCCGGAGGGCGTATATGAGTAATTTTCAATTGACTCATGGATGACTAAGTTCAATTATTCAATTTTTTTTTTATGTCATTTTCAATTAAATTATTTCTGAATGATTTCATATTAATCTTAATTATCCACTGATGCACTATTTATTCATTTTTCACTTATACAAGTCAATTATAATTGATTTTTTTATGAATGGTTTCTTTTTTACTCGTGTACAAAGATATCACCAATTATACATGTAACACAAATTTAATTATAATTTAGGCTTGATATTCCACGCTCCTTGAATATTGACATGTATAGCGTTTTGTGTGGATATGTGTTTGTTGTGCTAAAATTCCGTAAGTGAACTATATCTTAACAAATAATAAAGTGACCGTGAGTTCAAGCTTCATTTCCATGAGAACTAAGTACTTAATTACCTTCCTATTTGCACTAATAAACTGAATAGAAATATTGTATGTATGATTTATATTTTCTTGTCAAACATATAATTAATCTTATTATCAAACTAAGTAAGTAAGTCGGAAATGATTATAAGACTCAATTATAAGTAAACATTTTCTGTTAGTTGACAAGATTTATTTGGACTTAAGATCATTGTTCTTAATTTATTTAATAATCTCTTTTCGATTAGAATTAAATCTAGCCTCATATATTACTTTACTATATCTCTATGAAAGATGTGAATACATGAAGATGCATTAAACCACAAGATCATTCATAAGATTCTGTAAAATATATCGATATAGAGACCTTTTGTCAAGCTTTACCATGATTGATACTATATGTTATAATTTCTATTGATTCTCTCAAATGAAATAAAAATTAAAAAATCTAATCAATTAACAGCCAACTAATTTAAAATGATTATAAGTTTAATAATCATTCAAACCAGCGGCGAATCCAGGATCGAAGTCCAGCTAGGCCGGGTTGATCGTCGACGATTGGACTAGGACGGGTTGATCGTTGACCGTCGAAGATCATAACAGTTCGATCGTTTAATAAAATTGGTTATATAATATTAAAAGTTATTCAGTATATATGTAAATGAACTGAAACGTTAAAATCGTATACATATGAAAATATACTTCAATACAACCCAAAATAGTAAAAAAAAAATACGATACAACATTACTCAGTTACTCTGTAACTGTAAATTTAGACAACTGTATTCTACGGGATGTCATGATTTGAAAACGTTGCAATATTGCCTCGTTCTCAAGTTTTTTTAAAATAGCTTTCTCCACGTAAACCACCAAATTGTCAGTCAACCAGTCATCTCCCATTTTGTTGTGTAAATCACTTTTGATTAGATTCATAGCAGAAAATACCCTTTCAACACTTGCAGTTGTCACAGGTAATATCAATGCCAAGGTGAGCAGCCTATAAACCAATGGAAAATAACAGGAACTTCCAGTTTCAACCAACTTCTGAGCTATACAAGATATGCTATTAAGATTAAAGAAAGTTTCGTCCATTCTCACAAGCAAAAGAAACTTATCAAGTAGAGGTCTAAGTAATAAAAGCTCTTCGCTATTGAAATCCAAAGGATAGAACTGAGCAAGACGTAGCAATTTATTCTTATCAAAAGCTGCAAATGAATCTCTTGAACTTAAACATGAAATGCAAGTAAAGAGTTCAGTAGTTGTTTCTGGAAAACGATCATTCAACTCTTGCAAGATTGAGTCTATCGCATGACAATACAAATCAACATAAAAGCAATGAAAATAAGTCACCTGCTGAGCTACACGCCTAGGTCGACCTTTCACTACTAAATATCCTCCATATTGGACACTAAAATATGTCTATCAACACAAAATTCAATCACCCTACTCAACAAAGTATCCCAACCATTCTCTCTCAGGTTCTGCAATGCACACTTACACAAATTCAATAACCTCATTGCATTCTGAATATCCTAATCCTTTTTCTGTAAGGCTTGTAAAAGGTCGTCTGTAATTGCAAGAATTTCAAACATAAAGTGGAGACTGAACACAAACTCAAAATCTTGCATAGTGTTCATCTGTCTTACGGTCGAAGATTTTTTATCTGAATGTACGCCATCTTCTAATATATTTTCAAAAAATCTATGATAGCATTAAACATATTAATGAAATGAGTAATTGTCAGTAGATGTGAGCCCCACATAGTATCACCTGGGCGTGCCAAACTCATTTCTTGAAACTAACTGCTTCCACCAGTAAGTTCCCCAATATTAAGCTTCTCTAAAATATTAGCTTGATAACTTGTTCGAAGAGTATCTACACGCTTACATGATGCACCAACCAAATTCACAATAATAGTAACTATGTTAAACAAATCATTAAGCATACAATTCCTACGTGCGACAGATACAATTGCCAACTGAAGCTGGTGAGCAAAGCAATGAACATACATAGCATGTGGGTTCTCTCTTAGAATTAAAGCTTTCAAACCATTGAACTCGCCTGACATATTACTTGCTCCATCATAGCCTTGAACTCTCAGGCTAGAAATGTTCAACCCATGTGTAGAAAACATTGCATCAATGACATCCTTCAGTGATTGGGCACAAGTATTAGTGACATAGGACATACCCAAAAAACGCTCTTTCACTTGCCCACTTTTATCAACAAACCTCAAAACAACTGCTATTTGTTCTTTCATAGAATTATCACCAGCCTCATCAACCAAAATTGAAAACAAAGAATCACCTATCTCATTGATAATAGCCCTTGTCATCTCTACGGCACAAAAATTAATCAAATCCTTTTGGATGGTTGGTGAAGTCATTTGGTCATTTCCAGGAGCATTACTAAATAATACTTCTTTAATTTCTTTACAACGAGCTGCATACCAGTTCAGTAACTCAATTAGATTTCCTCTATTAAGAGACTCTTTCGATTCATCATGACCAAGAAATGACAATCCTTGCATCAAGAGGAATCTAGTACAATCTAGCACCGCATTCAACCGGGTCCTATAACTTTGTTGTTGACTACTACTCTGGCTAGACATAACATAAGAGATACTTTGCTTTTGATTCATCAAGTTGGTATACTTTGCAAAAGCTTGATTATGAGCACTATCAAAGAGATCGACATGATCTTTCAATGTCTTTTTGTGCTTCCAATCCCTAAAGTCGGTCTTAATAAATATATGGCCACCCCCTTGACCCCCTCTATTGGGTTTGTACAAGTAGCAATGCAAACAATACGCCGCATCCTTTTCTATACTGTATTCCAAACCAATGAAATTCGGAGAACCATTCTTTTCGAAAACATCTATTATCATTCCCCATCGGTCTTCTTGGAAAATCATGTCCATATGGTTGACAAGGACCCTTCTCCAAGTATGTCGTCCTAACATCATCTCTGATATTAGGATCATACGACTCGATAGGGGGCGTATCCCTGGATCAGATACAAGATCATCCACTTTAAATTGAGCCTTGGACTTCTTAGTGTTATTCAATAACTCTTGTGCTCGACTAGAATCAGTGGCAGGACTAGATGCACAACTAGAAGTAGAAAAATTAGGTATGGACTTTCGTTTTGGTTGAAAAAATTGTTCCATAATCTGCAAATGTCCCAATTTATTTTTCAATTACAATTGATTAAAAAAGTAACTAAGTACACACAGGTTGAAAACGAGTGCCTGTTAGGATTTTTCTCATCTCCCAGGAAAGATCAATCACAGATTTGCATGACAGGAAAGAAAACGCATAGATGACAGATTATAAAATCAACAAAGAATCAGATTAATGGACACAAGAACATCATGTTTTCTGGGTAAATTTTATCAACCACTTGCAAGGAATTTCACCCCAGTCAATCTGTCATTACAAGAGGAAATTATTACAGTAATTGTTCTACACAACAACAGCACTCATCACTCTACGAAAACATATCTTTCTAATAGAACAGTCAATTCTCACGATAAGTTTGTGTGCCATATCTTTCTAATAGAACAGTCAATTCTCACAATTCATATATACACAATTCATATATACAAACTAACTGAGAACAATTCAACATTTGAGAAACGTGGCTGATAAGAAATATAACACATCCGAGCGAAAGAATTGATGATCTGTTTCCTTTTTCTCTTTCTACTAAAATTATTGTTTGCCCAGTAACCAGTCAACTAGAGTAATATATATCCAATAATGTTTAATCATATAGGTTTTTATAATATTCCAACTTCCAACCCTATTCACAAATCACAACTATGGGTGGTTTGATCTGGCATTTCAAGAATTGAAATTGAACCATAAATTTCGATTCTTTTGTATTCAATCACTATAGAAAAATTGAAATCAAATGTTATGATTCCGGTTCTAGATTTCAGTTCAATTCTACAAAAATAAATATTCTCTTAAAAATTCACAATTCAATCAATAGGCACTAAGCAGTTGAGTACAGTAACAAAACCAACAAAATCAAAATAGCCAAATCAAAATAGAACAAAACCAAAAAAGGAACTAAAAAAATAAAGAGGAAAAGTCGGAAAGAAAAAGAGTTACCAGTCGGCACACGGCAGGCGGCAGCAAGAGCTTCGGGCCTTCGAGTTCGAGTTCCACAGTTCCGATCTGCAGCGAGCCAGCGACTGCCTGTCTGCCTCGACTTCCTAGAGATTGGAGTGTGGTGGAGCTAGCCTAAATTGTGTGGTGTGGATTTGGAGAAAGAAGAAGCAAGGTCGAATCAAGGAAAAGAGTTTGGCATTTGGGGAAAAATCACAAATCACAATTTTGCGCTTCCCAACCGACAGCCACCGCAAACGATTCAAATGAAATGGCAAATGGGTATTAATATGGGTAATGGGTTTGGATAAATTAATTTGACATTTGGGCTAAATAATAAGAGGCCAAACCCCAAAGTTTAACATTTTGTGCAAAAGCCCAAACCAACAAAAAAAAAAAAAAAAACAAACGGGTTTCATCTTCCTTCTTCTGCTCCAGGCGAGTCGGCGACTCAGCAACCACACTACCCAACGGCTCTGCAGATTCCGGTGGAGCCAACACGCGCGACCGCGCCTTCTCGCCGGGTGCTGGTTCTACGCCTGATTCAAACCAAAGAAACATTAAAGTCAAAATCTTGAGACTAAAATTAAAACATCAAAACATAGGATTCATCATTATCCTAACGTCTATACAATTTTCCAAGCATTATATGATTATGGCAACATGAATTGGATTGAATCGATTGATACATGACTTGAAATTAAAGTGTAAAAGGAAGATGAAAAAAAAAATCTTGAACTCTTGAATCTCTTCAAAAAGTCATAAATAATCCTCTTGAATCTTCTTCTTCTTCAAACTCCAAGCAATTGTACGAGATTTTTGTAGTTTCTAACTCTTGTAAGGATATGTCTTTTTTATTAAAAGATTCTCCTAATACTTTCCTGATAAGTGTGATTTTGCACTTATTCGAGCCACTAAAAGTGGGCATTTGAAAATTCTTTTATTGTGTAGATACTTATTTTTGTTTGTTTATGATGACAGAGGTTGATATTAGACGGTAACGAATGAAAATGAAAGAGTTTTGACGTATAAAAAGCTTGACGTTGGATGAATTATGGAATACAGGGATCAAAGTGCCAAATTTGGAAGTCGAAGGACCCCATGTAATAATGGGGCTTGGGTTAACATAAAATTGAATTGAGGGGCTAAATTGCACGAAAGTGGAAGAAGTTGACTCTTACATTCGTAAGGATCTACGTAGTAGCGATCGCGAGCCTCCAAATGGTGCGATTGCATAGGCTCCGATTTTTGACATTGGAGGTGATGATTTTCAACCCTATTAGAAAACTATAAATAGTCTTTCTTCATACTTTTCTAGAAGACGCATTCTTGAGACAAATTACATACTTACAATCATAAATTCTCAAAAATTTCTGTTGAATTTAGGATTTGATGATGTATTACCATTGATTTTTCAAGAGATCTACAATGATCAAGAAAGGAGTTGAAGAAACATTGCTAGGATTCGTGTAGAGAAGATCAACAATGTCTCGAATTTCTTTCATGTTAGTTCGTTGCAATTGACTCGAGAATGTTTTTAATCTTTTATTTATTGAATTCTGCAATTACGAGTGGCTATATATTAAATTGACGTAGCTTAAATTTTTAGCGTTAATATAATTCAAAAGATTTCGTGTCCGATATATATTGTCTTAATTGCTTATTGTGTATTTAATTATATTCATTTGTTAGATCCCCAATTGATGAATTAAGAGATGTTGTTGAGATCTAGATGTGAATAAGTGACATATATCTTTATAAGAGATCAATAGATAATCTAATAGGTTATACAATCTTGATTGAATTTCTACAAATTCATTCGTTTATATGTGTGTGAATTTACAAGGAGATATAAAAAAATTTCGAGACATGGTGATATCTTACCCATTAATTCATCAATCGAATGAACCTTCAAACATGGAAAGTAAACAACAACAAAGAACCTAATGATAGAACCAGAACAAGTCGTGCAGTCGACATGAGCTGAGCAGCTTTTTGAAATTAATGAATATGATTTGCCACTTTAACAATTCATCTCACCACATGTTGCGCCAAATCAATCTAGCATTATATATCTTCCATTTGGACAATCAAACTTTCAATCGCGAACATATATGATTCTCCTATTCCAAAATGGGCTATCTTTCTATGCGATCCCACACACTCGTATCTCACATTTTTTGAACAGCTACAAAAATTACAACTTTCATGGTGTATCGGATGAAGCAATCAAGTTTAGGCTATTTTCCATATACTCTTTGAGATAGAGCAAGAGAGTGGTTAGATTCACTACTACGAGGAATTAATCGAACTTGGAATGATCTCACATATAAATTCCGTCACCAAGTATTTCCCCCCGATGAAAGCAACTAAATTGAAACATGAGATCTGAACTTTCCGGCAGGCCGAGTCGGAGTATTTTTATGAAGCATGGGAAATGTTCAAAGATACGATTAGAAAGTACCGTAACCATGGTTAAGGAAGGCCTTGCAAGTATAGTACTTCTACACCGAATTGAACTCGTCACGCCAACAACAATTGATTTAGCTGCAAATGGATTCATCGCGTTGAAAGCCACCAATAAAGTTACTGAGTTGTTTGAAACAGGGGTGATTTGTGGCCCATCGAAAGAGCTACAGATACAATGGAAAATAATTGGGTAAAATCTATAAAGCAATATTAAATTTGAAGGAGTAACATGTACATTTATTACGATCTGTTCGGTAATGATTTTGAAAATTTATTTTTTTTACGTTTACGGAGAAGTGGGTCCTACTTATGAGTGAAGAAATAAAAAATGACAGTTAGATAGTAAAATAACATATTATTTACACGTACTTAGTTTTTTTTTTTTTTTTTTCATATGAACATATATATAATTCTATTTATTTTTTAAAATGTTCAAAACCACTTGATATGAACTCTCAAACATGGATTAAAGCGTTTTAAAATTTATTGTTAAAATCAACACAAAACCAACCCCTCATAAAGGTACAAAATCAAGATTTAAATAAATAAATAAAAATCCATAATTGGTACACAAATCTCCCAAACAGACCCTAAGGCGACAAGATTTTGACTTAATTCCCGGGGAAATAACTGTTATTGACCATACATTTTTTATTTGGTTTTGCCATCTGCTAATGAAAAAAAGTCACACGTCTCCCTATAAAGAGTTTAAGGGTGTCTTTGATTGCAAGCATGTAATTTGTATTGAAAAAAAATAATTTTTAGATAATTCAATTGCTTAGAATTTATTTGCATGAAAATTATCAATTAAATGTATTTGATTGATTTAATTTTTAACATAGAATATATTATACTTGTCCATTTTTATTGGTGGGTAGATGAGAGATGGTGGATAAATAAGAGAGAGAAAAAGAAAGTGAATTTCGTGAAAAGTTAAATCCAACTCTCTCTAAAGAAAAAATTTCTTTGATTTTGAGGAAAATATGATCACGTGATCAAAAATGGAAAATATTTTCTATGTGAAAAATGGCAATCAAACAGTACAAAAGTAAAAAAATTTGATGAAAAAACACATTTTCCATAAAAAATATTGATAATCAAATGCACCCTAACAGTTTCCCTGTACATGTAGTGGCTTCCAAAGGTTCTTAACCTAGGAGTTACTTTAAAAAAATTATAATACAAGCGATGTTTTTTGAATGAGTTAAAAACCTTATTAGTCCCAAACTTTACACTTTCTAACTTTAAAAATGGACCTTGTTAGTCCCTT